TCAGATTGTAATCGTTTAAGAATTTCTTATGGTTGGTGTAAATTTTGTGAATCAGAACATATGCGTTTATCTTTTAAGAAATGGAAAAGTGGAAATAAATTTATAGATTTATTAATTCAACGTACACAATTAAATGCATTACATGCTTATGATTATTTGGAATTTATAAATTTTGATAATATTGAAATAAACGAATGTATTTCAAGAGGTGGATTTAGTAGTGTATATAAAGGATATTGGTTAGATGGACCTAGATGGCTTTGGGATGACATAGAAGATTCTTGGAATCGAAATGGTCCAATACAAGTAGCTCTTAAGAGACTTGATAACTCTCAAAACTTTTCTATGGCATTTTTTAAAACAGGTATGTAGATATTATTTTTTTCATTTACTTATTTTTCCCAAGTATAATCAATTAATCAATAAATGTTTCTTAATTATTTATTTATAGCTTGAAACATATCTTCATTGTCTTCACAGTGGTTCGATGGCTGATTGTTTTGGAATAACAAGAGATGAAACTGGATGTTTTATGTTTGTTATGAGATATTATGAAAATGGGAATCTTTATGAATATCTTGATAATAACGGAGGAATAATTGGTTGGAGAGATATAACTGATATTCTTTGGGGAATAGCAGGTGGACTAGAAAAAATTCATTCTGAAGGACTTTGTCATAAAAATTTACATGGTGGAAATCTTTTAATAGAAGATGAATCTATATCTACTGATGCAAAAATTGCTGATATTGGACTTCATGGTCCAGTTGATAAATCAATTCCTAACGATATAATAATAGGTGTTTTACCTTTTATTGATCCACAAATTATATTAAGAAATCAATTACCAAATTTAACTTCAGATATATATAGTTTTGGAATAATTATGTGGACTTTAGCTACAGGTCGTAAACCATATTATAATCGACCACATAATCAACAATTAGCTTATGAAATTTGTTATAAAAATTTAAGACCTGAAATAAGTGAAGAACTTAAATCAGAAATGCCAGAAGAATATTATAATTTAATGATACAATGTTGGGATTCATTACCAGAAAATCGTCCAACTGCAAATCAATTAAATAAATTATTAGGTGATTGGATTACTGCAATTTGTGATGATCCTAACCCTTCACAAATTTCTGATAGTTTTGGTATAGCTGAAGAGAAAAGATGGGAATCAATTACAAAAGAAATTGAAAATAAAAAGTTATCTACTTATTCTATTCATAAAGATGCAATATATTTTAGTCGTATTATTGATTATAGATATATAGGGAGTTGAACTTAATATAAAATTAATACTTCTTTATTGTAAAAAAATTTTTTTTTTTTTTTTTAAAAAACGTTCATTATTTGTAGTGTGACTTGTTACATTTTAAATTGAGCTTATAATAAAGCCGGCTTAGATTTACTTCAAAATTTTTATTCAATTTACCATTACTGTAAAAAAATAAAATAATAATACATAAACGCATAAAAATCTTGCTTTCATTATTTGAATACTTAATCTCTTGGTACTGCATGTAACATTCAGAGAGAAATTTTGAATCATATGATTATACGTATGTCGCATTGTTCTACTATGTTGGAAATTATATTATTAATCGTTATGCAAGATTGATCAAATTTAACCCCAACACGGCGTTCCATGTGCGTTTGACAATATCCGAGTTTTCTCATACGTACATTCATACTAATTGCTTTAATGTTAATAAAAGTATTTAGAAGGGGGTGATTAGTGATAGAAAATTTAATTAGTAATTCATTTTTGGAAATTAATAATTTAATTTACCCAAATAAATCGAAATATCTATCGATTAGAATGTATATATACGTAATTGAAATATGCATTCGATTCGAGTAATATCCGATAAAATGTATTCGATTCGAATAAATATCCGAGAATTAATAAATAATTAAATTAAAAATATTGACAATAATAGTTTTTTAAACATTCAATTTCATATTTAATTAAAAAAAAATATATCTTGGTATAATTCGATTATGATTATTAATGGCTTTTTTTTTTTATTAAAAAAAATATAT